CGCGGGGATCACCCAGGCTCCCCCAGGAGGGATGTTTCCCTCTTGCTGGTTCCTCTCAGCCCTGGCCGTTCGGCTGTGGGACTGACCCCCGCCCCCCTGTCGCCGAGGGCTGTTGCCTTGTCTCCTTAGGTCGAGGTGAGAGCTGGAGGCCGAAGGCCGCTCCTCGCCCTTGGGCAGCGCGCCTGGTGGCCCTTCCACCCGGCCTGTCACCCAGCCATCGGCTATTTTTGGTGCTACCCCACATAACTGGTTTGGTTTTCAGTTGTGGGTCTGCTGCCATGCTTTTTTTTTTCTCCTTCTGCGGGAGAACATCTTGTTTCCTTAATTTTTAGCTCCAGCAGAGTCCAAAGAAATCAGAGTTTGTAAGTTAATATTTAAAATGGCAGAAGACGCTTCCAGAAGCGAATGAAGTTTGTTTTCTGGCGGCCTTCAGGAATGTGCGCTGTACCTTGGGCGAGGACAACGGGGGCTCCGGGGGGGTGGTTTTCATGTCGGGCCCCTGCAGTTAGAGCCTGACAGAATCGGGCAGTGTGGTCTGTGCTTGGAACTGGAGGTCTCAATTCCCATTCTGCCCAGCAAGAGCTAAAAATACAACTGGAGTTTTCTTGGCATTTTCTTTTTAAGAAGAAACACAGTGATTTAAAGACTACTGATCATTTTCTGCTACGAGCTACAACCCAAGTATGGGAGGGGAAAAAAAAAAAAAAAAAAAGAAAAAGTCTCTTGGCAGCAGCCCTTTGGTGTGGGTTGTGAGTACTGGGTATTCTGGGGATGGGATTGAACGTTCTGGGCACCATCTCAGAGCTCCCATCCAGCAACGTCAGGCGGTTCAGTTATAGTGGGAAGATAAAAATAAAAATGAGAGTTTGATTGAAATTTTGCACTGCAGTAACTTTTTGCCACACAGCATCTTAGACATGCATATTTTCTCTTCTGCGCTGACTTTCTTTTAATGGTTGCCATGTGTGACTGCTACTTCACACCACTCTTTTTTTTTTTTTTAAATTTTTTTTTTAAAATAGGGGAAAAAAAGAACCTGCTTTCTATCTTTCCCTCATCTTTGTTCCTGTCTTATGTGGTTTTCAGTTTGCGGAGGGCATGTCTGAAAAGGAAAGTGGGAGGGCAGGCGAGAGAAACAGCCCCAAAACGCACACTGGTGGGTTCCTGCCGCGCTGCCCTGGTCACTGCTGCTGTTTCATTTTGAACTGATGCGCGTGCCACGTTCTGGACCTTTCTTTGACTAACTGCGACTTTTTTTTTTTTCTCCTCTCCTCCAGCATTTCATGCCTATGGGAAAGCAGGAAAAATGTTGGTGGAAACAAGGTAATCTGCTACTTATTTAAAGCTTGAACAGTTTGGGTTTGTTTAATGAGAAATACTGCGCTGCAGCCTCTTGTGGCCTTGCTGCACTCTTGTTTCTTACCCTCCTGCCTTCTCTGCTCCCAGAAGCCTCCCTTGGCACCTCAAATGTGAACAAGGGCGTAAGTGAGATCCCCTGAGCACAGCTCGCAGGTGTCGCCTTCAGCTTCCCACCCGCTCCTGAGCGGAGACGGGAGCCCTTTCCAGACAGTGGGAGCACAGAAGTCGGGGAATGAACTCATCTCCCGCTCTGCTGTGAAATCATGGGCATGTCACTTGTGGCCCTTCTCCAGGGGTGAAATCCCTGCCAAGATTGCCGTGAGTTAGTGGGAGGGAGAGCGTTCAGTACCTCGGATCCACCCTTTCGCTGCTCTGGTCCTGCCCGCTTGCCTCTGCGAGACGCCGGGCGTTAGGAGATGCCTTGTGGGGGAAATCCTGTCTCCATTTCGGGACCGGCTCCGGTTCCTCAGCTGACCCCAGTGCAAGCAGGAGCTCCCCCGCAGGCCTCGTTCAGCGGTCGTGACGGGCGATGGGACATCTTTTCCCAGCCGAGGTTCTTTGGTGGAGGCGCTGTGAGCCCTGGCCAGTCAGCCATGCTGGCTCCTTCCCCCTTCCCAGCTGCAAACTGGTGCTCCACGCTAAAAACACGCAGAATCTTTCTCAGATGTTACTTGTCCGTGCGAGCGATTGCTGTAATTGCCAGGGGGATGTTGTATAATTGGAACTGGGAGGGAAGGTGGCCCGTGCAATGGTGAATGGGAGGAGAAGCGGTTCGTAAGACAATCTTTTCATTAAAGCGTGGTCCGTTTTGTGGAAAGAAGTTTGAGAGCCGACTCGGTATTGAGACTTTCGTGGTAAGCCCCTGCTGCAGGGCGTGGGGCTGAGAGAACCTCGTGCTGCTGCTTTTTAAAGGTTTTTCCAAGCTATAAAAGAGCCCTTGCCACCTCCGAGGTCTGGTTTTTCTGTGGCTCCAAAGAGCAGTTGGACCCGTGCAGAGGTTGTTGCCAGAGCTCCATCTCTAGCCAAGCTGTCGGGTGTGGATGGAGGTTCTCTGGGGTTTATTTTACCGGGGTCGAACGCAGCGCTGGTGGCCTGCCCTTCACGAGCCTGAGGAGAGAAGCGAGGTCTTCCCCATCGGCACCCGCAGCCCGCTGCAGCCCTGCAGCCAGCAAACCTGCTGCTCCTGCTGGTGGCCACACGCGTTTTCAGTGTCAGTTCAGCAAAATCAGGGGCTTGTTTCCATTGTGACAGGCCATAAAGTCGTGCTAGAGGGTGGGTGTACGCTGCAGCAAGGCCCGCCGAGGCTGCTCTGCCCCTGGACACGAGCGAGCGACTGCACAAGGTTTTAAACCACTTTAAATGTGGCCTTTTGGATGTTTCTGTGTAATTCTCCTGGATATTCCTCGGTAAGCGGGGGGTGCGGCAGGGTCCTAACCGATCTGCAGCTGCTGTAGCCCTTGAGACCTCGTCGGTGCTGAACCTTTGTCTTGATCCTTCCCCAGCAGCTGCAACGTCCATGGGATGTCTCTTGCTCCCAGCACACGTGCCGTAGGCCGGCTCCACGCCGGGCACGTAGCGGTGTTCTCTCCCCGCAGCCGCAGGCTCGGTTACGGCGGTGCCGGGCAGTGTCTCCAGGTGTCTCTGAGGTAGCCTTGGCGCTAAGAAAGCTTGTCCTCTCTCTCTCTTGGGCTGTGCAGAGCACAGATCCGCTGGGAATGTGGCTGCTGACGCGCCTGCCCCGAGCAGGAGCTGCGTGCCGGGGTTCCTGCTCTAGCCTCCTAACCCATGCGTGTGTTTTGTTGGTTTTGCAGCATGATTGGGCTGATGCTGGGAACTTGCATTGCTTTCTATGTTGTCATTGGTGATTTGGGGTCCAACTTCTTTGCCCGGCTGCTTGGATTTCAGGTAAATAAATCCTCCCTGGGTCATGCCCTCAATGCAGACGGGAGTCCCGGCGTGTGCCTCGGGGTACGGCCAAGAGCATCCTGCCTCCGTGGCGTGCTCAGCGGCCCTCGAGGCCTCGCGGGGGTCCCCTCGTGGTGAGCTTTTACGGCCCTCCCTGTGCGCAGGGCGTTGAGCTCTGTGAAGTCCTGGAAGCCCAGCCATATGGCGAACAAGCAGATGCGTGAAGCCTTCAATAAGGCGCTGCCAACAAAGGAATTCTTTTTAACTTGGTCTCTGTTAATTCTGGAGCACATTCCCGGAGAGGATGATGCTTCCTGTCTTCATTCCTGCCCCGACGGGTGGGGACAGACAGTTCCTCTGTCCACGCTCTTGCCCCCTTGCAGCCCCTCTAGTTCAAGAGGGATTTTTGTCCTGTCCCTCGCTGTTTTGGTGGCCAGAGTCACTGCGTGCCGGCCTCCCCTTTAAGATCGAGCGAGACGGGCGACGTGACCGGG